ACCCCCACATCTGCACACCACTAAATCAGGACACCACCACATCAGCAAACCACCACATCAGCAAACCACCACATCAGCACACCACCACATCAGCACACCACCACATCAGCACACTACCACATCAGCACACCACCACATCAGCACACCACCACATCAGCACACCACCACATCAGCACACCACCACATCTGCACACCTCCACATCAGCACACCACCACATCTGCACACCACCACATCAGCACTCCACCTCATCAGCACACCACCACATCAGCACACCACCACATCAGCAAACCACCACATCACACCACCACATCAGCACACCACCACATCTGCAAACCCCCACATCAGCACACCCCCACATCAGCACACCCCCACATCTGCACACCACTAAATCAGGACACCACCACATCAGCAAACCACCACATCAGCAAACCACCACATCAGCACACCACCACATCAGCACACCACCACATCAGCACACTACCACATCAGCACACCACCACATCAGCACACCACCACATCAGCACACCACCACATCAGCACACCACCACATCTGCACACCTCCACATCAGCACACCACCACATCAGCACACCACCACATCAGCACACCACCACATCAGCACACCACCACATCAGCACACCACCACATCTGCACACCTCCATATCAGCACACCACCACATCAGCACACCACCACATCAGCACACCACCACATCAGCACACCACCACATCAGCACACCACCACATCAGCACACCACCACATCTGCACACCTCCACATCAGCACACCACCACATCAGCACACTACCACATCAGCACACCACCACATCAGCACACCACCACATCTGCATACCACCACATCTGCACACCACCACATCTGCACACCACCACATCTGCACACCACCACATCAGCACACCACCACATCTGCACACCACCATATCAGCACACCACCACATCAGCACACCACCATATCAGCACACCATCATATCAGCACACCACCACATCAGCACACCACCACATCAGCACAACACCATATCGGCACACCACCACATCTGCACACCACCACATCAGCACACCACCACATCGGCATATCACCTTATCAGCAAACGACCACATGTCTTTATCTTTGGGCACAGCTCACCTGACAACGCACATGGATGTCAGTAGCTGGTACCCGCCCACCATGTATTGGTGTCAGTAGCTGGTACCCGTCCATCATGGTGTCAGTAGCTGGTACCCGCCCATCATGTATTGGTGTCAGTAGCTGGTACCCGCCCATCATGTATTGGTGTCAGTAGCTGGTACCCGCCCATCATGTATTGGTGTCAGTAGCTGGTACCCGCCCACCATGTATTGGTGTCAGTAGCTGGTACCCGCCCATCATGTATTGGTGTCAGTAGCTGGTACCCGCCCACCATGTATTGGTGTCAGTAGCTGGTACCCGCCCACCATGTATTGGTGTCAGTAGCTGGTACCCGCCCATCACATATGGTAGTCAGCTAAACATGACAAACTACATAGTCAATGTTCATGTTTGACTGTCATCAGCTCAGCACCGCTTATAGCTAGTCAGTCTATGGGTACGGAGTCAGACTATGTCTACGTAGTTGGTCTATGTCTACTGAGTCAGTCTATGTGTACGGTCAGACTATGTTTACAGAGTCATTGTATGTGTGCAGAGACAGTCTATGTGTACTGAGTCAGTCTACATGTACGGAGTCAGTATATGTGTACGGAGTCGGTTTATGTGTCACCGGTTCTTTCCACCTTGTCAATAATTATAACCACCGTGTCAACATTCTAATCTTTTTGTCGAGGATTATAAACACCATAGTAATAATTATATAGTCAAGTATTTTAACTACCTTGCCAATGATTCTCACTGCAGTGTCAATTGTTCTAACACCATGTCAATGATTCTAACACCGTGTCAATGATTCTAACCACCGTGTCAATGATTCTAACACCGTGTCAATGATTCTAAGACCGTGTCAATGATTCTAACACCATGTCAATGATTCTAACACCGTGTCAATGATTCTAACACCATGTCAATGATTCTAACACCGTGTCAATGATTCTAACACCATGTCAATGATTCTAACACCATGTCAATGATTCTAACACCGTGTCAATTATTCTAACACCATGTCAATGATTCTAACACCGTGTCAATGATTCTAACACCATGTCAATGATTCTAACACCGTGCCAATGATTCTAGCACCGTGTCAATGATTCTAACACCGTGTCAATGATTCTAACACCGTGTCAATGGTTCTAACACCGTGTCAATAATTCTAACACCGTGTCAATGATTCTAACACCGTGTCAATGATTCTAACACCGTGTCAATGATTCTAACACCGTGTCTATGATTCTATCACCGTGTCAATGATTCTAACACCGTATCTATGATTCTAACACCATGTCAATGATTCTAACCCCCACGATGATGCAGATGTCACCTTGAGCGTTGCTGTTGAGCATCAGGACCCCGTGACTGTTGCCTGCAGCATCTTCCACACACGTGTAGAACGGGTGCACTCCGTACAGGTTTGCTTCAGCCTGTCAAGTATAAACAGATAACATATATTGCTTTTCCCTAGCCTGCCAAGTACAAACAGATAACATATAGTACTGGTCCATAACCGGTCAGGTATAAACAGATAACATGTAGTGCTGGTCCCTAGCCTGTCAGGTATAAACAGATAACATGCAGTTCTGGTCCCTAGCCGGACAAGTTTAAACAGATAACATGCAGTGCTGGCCCCTAGCCTGTCAGTTATAAACAGATAACATGCAGTGCTGGTCCCTAGCCTGTCAGTTATAAACAGATAACATGCAGTGCTGGTCCCTAGCCGGACAAGTTTAAACAGATAACATGCAGTACTGGTCCCTAGCCTGTCAGGTATAAACAGATAACATGTAGTTCTGGTCCCTAGCCGGAAAGTATAAACAGATAACATGGAGTGCTGGTCCCTAGCCTGCCAAGGATACAGGAATAAAGATATTCCCGACAAATAACCGTGTTGATGATAGTGATAGCAGCTGGGTTTTGATAACCACCATCGTCTTCAGGATTGCTACAATAAAATCTTTGCAATAAGTGTCAATAAATTCTCATTTGTTCATCGGCCTGGGACGAGGTCTTTGTTCTTGTCCCAGTTATGAGACATGGCCAAGCTATACAGTTATTCATCTCTTCGTTCTTCTCTTAGCCATTTCCCATCATGTTTATGTAGAAGGTTTCTGTCTACTTCTAGAAGTACCGCCTATCAAAGATAAACACTAACATCTCAGTAACGTCAACAAACTGTCGGTGTATCAGTGGAAGTTTCTGGCTAGCACAGTCTGTTTACATAACACGTTTGATTCTCCGGTCGCTCGCGATGTTTCATCATGAGATTTTACTCTGTGTGTTTTTTTCACAGCCACCACATCTGTTAGATGACAGTAGACTAGAAATGAACACAGACAGGCTTGCCTTGATCCAGCTCTGTTGTCAGCCGTGTCACCCAGGACCTGGTGCAGCTAGGACAGGCTTGCCTTGACCCCAGCTCTGTTGTCAGCCGTGTCACCCAAGACCTGGTGCAGCTAGGACAGGCTTGCCTTGACCCCAGCTCTGTTGTCAGCCGTGTCACCCAGGACCTGGTGAAGCTAGGATGCTATTTGATGTTATCACAATCGACGTCACTGCACACAGGGCGTTCCAAGCGTGCTCAGTCGACCTTTACAGCCGCCACTCTAGGGTACCTCTACTGATTGTTTTTATGAGAAGCTGGTTATAACATCTCCTATCTCGGTCCCGAAGACGGCGTCGGCGTGCTTTACCATGCCTTACTCCAAAGTTACGCAATCGCTTTAGTGTCAACGATTTTTTATTATTTACCGACCTAGTCCGTACAACGGTCATAGTCGTTACGCGACAGTTTTCGAACAAGCGGTGCATACTACAAGATTTAAGATTCTCCGTGACGTTAGCACACAAGCATCACCTATATGATGCACACTCCGCAGCTGCACCGGTTACGCCTTGGGATCATGCAGGACAGGAGTGGGGTTGTTCTCCTGAAACTGTTACTGCCAGTCTCTGGGTAATTGACTTGCATCAACAGGAACGGCTGAATATTTTGAGAGTAGCAGCTGCATCATTCACAAGCAAGCAACAAGCAAATGACACAACAACAACAACAACAACAACAACAACAACAAACACATCACATACAAGCAGAGAACAGACCACACAACCACTCACATCCCAAGATGGCGGCTGATCTCTAGCAAATGAAGCCCAGGTTCTGTTCATCTGGTGACGGAAAGTCTCGTGCATATGTTCGCCCAGCCCGTAGACGTTTCTTGACGGAAGCCTGGAGCTGATCTGTAGAAATTGGTCGGACAAGATGAGACTTCCAGCTCCAATGTTTGTGTCCCATCTGAAACACATGAGGCACATTGGGTTGAGCTGCTGAAAGTGGCGAAAGCTCCTGTTTCTTTCAGGCCAAACTCTGTTAAAATTTTCTCAAAGTCCGCATTCCGCAAAGACAGCCGTAGTCATAATGGCCTTAGATAATATGTTCCTAACCAGATAATTTCTGTTAAACTTAAATGCCATCCGCATGTCTCCCCCTGCTCTATTTTAAGTGCTGACAAACTCAGTTAAATAAATGACAGTGCACACGCCCCTCCCTCCCTCCCCACCCCCCCCCCCCCTTCTCCAATTTCCTGACAATCGCAGTCTCACACAACAGTTTCTGTTTCCCTCCAGACAATCTCAGCTAAACTTTCACAACAGTTCCCGTGTCCCTCCAGACAATCTCAGCTAGACTTTCACAACAGTTCCCGTGTCCCTCCAGACAATCTCATCTAAACTTTCACAACAGTTCCCGTGTCCCTCCAGACAATCTCATCTAAACTTTCACAACAGTTCCCGTATCCCTCCAGACAATCTTAGCTAAACTCACACTATAGTTCCCGTATCCCTCCAGACAATCTCATCTAAACTTTCACAACAGTTCCCGTATCCCTCCAGACAATCTCATCTAAACTTTCACAACAGTTCCCGTATCCCTCCAGACAATCTCATCTAAATTTTCACAACAGTTCCCGTATCCCTCCAGACAATCTCATCTAAACTTTCACAACAGTTCCCGTATCCCTCCAGACAATCTTAGCTAAACTTACACTATAGTTCCCGTATCCCTCCAGACAATCTTAGCTAAACATACACTATAGTTTCCGTATCCCTCCAGACAATCTTAGCTAAACTTACACTATAGTTCCCGTATCCCTCCAGACAATCTTAGCTAAACTCACACAATAGTTCCCGTGTCCCTCCAGACAATCTTAGCTAAACTTACACAACAGTTCCCGTGTCCCTCCGGACAATCTCATCTAAACTTACACAACAGTTCCCGTGTCTCTCCGGACAATCTCAAAAGCGAAGCTGTGGTTGTTGGTAATCCTGCTCTCATACTTGGGCTGCTTCCCCGCGCGTGCTGGTACATCAACAGGTTTGGGCACCTTGTAGCGGCTGCTGTCGGTTGCATCAAACTAGCAATAAGAGCAGGTGAGGATGGGAGATTCAGAGATATACATAAATTATAAAAGCAAATAACATGATTAGTAAAGCAGACGGGGCGAATTTAAATTATTATCGATAATTTATAGTTAAGTTATATCTTCTAATTTATTTTAAAATCATCATCACCGTCATCTTCTCCTCATCATTATCATCATCATCTAGCCCAGTGATGCTCATGTGAGTTTACTCAGGAACCAAAATGTTTAACATGGGGATAGCGAGTCGAAGCATAGAAGGATCATTATAAACATGGCGCACATAACCTAGTCACAATTATAACTAAAAGCTCCACCTTCGGGGATTCTGGCTGAACATGACAATGGGTTTTTCTTTCTGCTTAAAATCGGATCGGATCGGAGGTATTCCACTAACGGGACCGGGTACAGCGGCAGACAACACTCAACATTCGGGTTTCATTTATCACTGCCTGCAGCTAAACGTAACTGCGTGTTCTTCGTTTCATTACAAACTCGATTTTTTGGGGAAGGCAGACTCCAAAACGGGACAGCGCAAACAAAACAAGGTCACTGGAAAACTAGACAGCAGGTGGCAGAGGAGGAAAGACATATCGCTAGAAACTTAAACAACACATGCTAGAGAAATGAAGACTACGGCGGGGAGGCGGTTCTACGCCATACAACAGAGCCAAACAGTACTAATGTTGAGTTGAAACACAACAGAGTAAGACAATTGTAATGTTGAGTTAAAATACAACAGAGCCAGACATTACTAATGTTAAGCTCTGGGAGAGAACTAAAGTTCCCCCGCCAGTGGAGCAAGAGATAAAGCAAAGCGAAACGTTGAGAAAGCGTAAGAACAGTATAACTGTAATATCTTTACACTGGAACCCACAGAGGCATAGAAATAAGGCAGACCCAACAACTGATTAAGGGTCAAAGCTCCATTGGGGATTAGAAGGCAGAAGAAAAAGGGTCAGACACCTGCTAATCCCTGCTTCAAATTCATTTTCCAAGGTAAACGAGAAATATTATCAAACAAAAATTTTGTAGTGAGATGTATATTGTCTGGGTAAATGCCTACGGTTAAGGGGTTAAACTTACAGAGTCCTCCCCATCTGGGTTAGCACCGCCCATTAACGCACTGGGTCACTTTTCCTTTATACTTCGTTAGGCTCGTCAACCTTTCTCAAGGTTAGGAGGGTGCTTTCTACGTTGCTTTTTATTTACCTTTTTATTCCATGCAAGAGAATGCGTGTGGCTTAAGTTGCAGCACTCTCGTATGGAAGTTTGTGTTAGGGCCAGTTCTGCATGTTTTTTGAAGAGTTAACAGCGCTGACATGCTGGACAATACAACACTGTTGATATCGAAGACAACGCAGAAAGCTTTTCGAGAAAACAGTACATCGGGACACCCCCGTAACCTTGAGCAAAGTTAACGAGCCTGAGCAAGCACTTTTCAAAAGTGACATAGTGTGTAAATGTGCGGAGCAAACTCAGATGGGGAGAAGTTCGTAATATTTACCAGTTCAAGTGATTGGTGACACCACAGTATGACATCCTACCACAAAATGAGCGATATCGTCTCCTCTGCTCTCGAAGGTAAATCTCCAGCTCCTGATGTCACCGCCGAAAGGGGCGGACCCTGTCTGCTGGAGTGTGGCCTGCAATCCCAGGCTGGTCCGGACAATACTGGACACTGACAGTCTGTACTGACCCTCCGTGTACTGGCAGACAGGCTGACCAGCTGGAACATCGGTGCTGAAAGCACAGCCTCGCTTGAGACATGCGGTTTTGTTGACTGCAGACCTCTTGCCTGGGAAGGTAAATAATCAACGACACATTCAAGTAAACATTCAACAGCCTGGGGGTAAATATTCAACAGTGTAGGGAGCAAACATTCAATGATCGTGGGAGTAAACATTCAAAAATAATGAGGAGCCATTTCCTTCGCTTGAATAATTAGCTGACTGCTCTGAACTAAGCGTTGAAATCACACTGACACAATCTGCCACAATAACTATTTCACTTCTAACGAATGTAAATCTGAGGATGTGGAACAGATGTTAGGTATGATCAAGATGTGGCCAGCTGTTGTACAAATTATTGATTCATAAACATTCTGCACTCCCGGGGTAAACAATCTGCGATGTTGGCGTAAACATTCTGCAATGCTTACACTTTGGGTAGACGATAGAAATAACACTAACTGTGTGGTTTTCAGTGGAATACAAATCGGGTAGACTGGAGCGATTGTGTAATCAATAATAAGGCTAAATGTTGCACAACTTTGGCTAGGTGTTGCACAACTTTGGCCAGGTGTTGTACAGCTTTGGCCAGGTGTTGCACAACTTTGGCCAGGTGTTGTACAGCTTTGACCAGGTGTTGCACAACTTTGGCCAGGTGTTGCACAACTTTGGCTATGTGTTGTACAGCTTTGACCAGGTGTTGCACAACTTTGGCCAGGTGTTGTACAGCTTTGACCAGGTGTTGTACAGCTTTGACCAGGTGTTGCTCAACTTTGGCCAGGTGTTGCACAACTTTGACCAGGTGTTGCACAACTTTGGCCAGGTGTTGCACAACTTTGGCCAGGTGTTGCACAACTTTGGCCAGGTGGTGCACAACTTTGGCCAGGTGTTGCACAACTTTGGCCAGGTGGTGCAAAACCCTGCCATTCATTAGATAACACATCAAGGATACCAGAAATTTGCACATACAAAATTAGCAATTCATAAAATATAATATCTAAGGGTACTATATATGTTAAAAAAATCAAGAAATTCACTTTTAAAGTCGTATTTTTTTCCGAATAAAGGTTAATTGCTTATTCTTTACAGCGCTTTTACCAGCCCCAGCATTTCTATTTGTGGTTTTACTTGGGACAATTGTAAGTTGGTTAGTGTGTCTGTGCTTTTGAGCTGCTGGCTCTCAATACCAATGTCGACATCAACGCAAGGCGGTCTGAAAATAAATCGCGTGCAGCTAGGATCGAACCCTGCACTTCGGCATAAAGAAGTGTGTTTGCAGCACCAGATGCACAGACGCCGACAAATGTACTAGACATAAACACAAGCAGTTAGAACAGAGTAGTGTTCGAGTCTTCAGTTCCACATGCAGACGACTTGTCTACTCCAGCAAAATGAAGAGACATTTTAAGGGGCAGGACTGGAGACTGAACACTTATTAATGATCAGTGAGTGCCGTGACATTACCAAGCCAGCCAGCTGTGTCGTAGTGAACATGTTATAATTCTCTGTACTGGCAATTGTGTTTACCGCTTGATGAACCAGAGGAATCGAAACAGCAGCAGTTCTAAGTCTCAGTGTGATTCTACATGGACACAGAATGTTCATTGTAATGAACTGAGTGACTGAGATGGAAACAAAGGAGCTGACAAGAGTTAAATAGAACCAATCCTATTGTGTGGAAGCGAAACATGGACAGTCAGAGATTTGTCACATATGATCAGAAGCGGGAAATCCCCATTCTTGTAGACTGTACTGGGAAGAGGAAATATGGAGTACGTCATGACAGACGGACATTTGGAGGGTAAGAGGGACGATGGAGTACGTCATGACAGACGGACATTTGGAAGGAAAGAGGGAAGATGGAGTACGTTATGACAGACGGACATTTGGAATGGGAAGAGGGAAGATGGAGTACGCCATGACAGACGGATGTTTGGAAGGGGAAGAGGAAAGATGGAGTAAGTCATGACAGACGGACATTTGGAAGGGGAAAAGGGAAGATGGAGTACGTCATGACAGACGGACATTTGGAAGGGGAAGGGGGAAGATGGAGTACGTCATGACAGAGGGACATTTGAAGGGTAAGAGGAAAGATGGAGTACGTCATGACAGAGGGACATTTGAAGGGTAAGGGGATAGATGGAGTACGTCATTAAAGAGGGACATCTGAAGGGTAAGAGGGAAGATTGAGTACGTCATGACAGAATGAAATTTTGGAGGGGAAGAGGAAAGATGGAGTACGTCATGACAGAGGGACATTTGGAAGGGAAGAGGGAAAATGGAGTACGTCATGACAGAGGGACATTTGGAGTCGAAGAAATGCAGAGACAGACCAAGAAAATGTGAGTTTGGCATCATATCATAGAAGGACATCTGCATCAAAAACGTTACAGTAGACGTGACAATAGGTTGTGGACATCAAGGTAACCGCCATCACGTGACAATAGGTTGTAGACATCAAGGTAGCCACCATCACGTGACAATAGGTTGTGGTCATCAAGGTGGCCACCATCACGTGACAATAGGTTGTGGACATCAAGGTGATTACCATCAGGTGACAGAAGGCTGTAAACATCAATGTGACTAACATCACGTGACCGAAAGCTGTGGACATCAAGGTGACCACCATCACGTGACAGAAGGTTTGGGGACACACAAGACGACCATCGTTACGCAACGTGGACTTCAAAAAGGGGGGGGGGGGGTGAACTTAGTCCGTATACTTCTGCTTTTGTTCATAAAAGGATCGATAGTATGTTGTGTTGTGTTTTACCGCTACAGGGCTAGGAACAGTAGATTTGATTCCAGGAATCTGCGGTCTTTCACGACATTCTTGCTGGACCCCCTCCCCCACCCCCAACCCCACCCCACCCCACCACCACATGGGGCTTGCAACCCTACACACGAGAATGTGTGGCATCCACTCCCATCACAACTAAGATATTTGTAATGTTCCCTACACATTTAACTGTATTTTGACCAGTTTTAAGATCTTTTTCCATTCTTTCTTAAGTTCTTATTCTCGTGATCTGACTATAACTGTTCAAAGTCCCTCAGTTAAAGGCTTTGATATCGGTTGTCCAGGCAGCAGTGTGGCCAGGACAATCATTTAAAGCTGGACAAGAGTTATAGTCCGCTGACTCACATTCAAGAAGTCAGACAACGAGTTGCCGGCTGGTCCTGTTTTGGTCCAAACCCGTGCTAAAGAAAACCATTATTAAACTGACCGACTGACTTACCTTCAGCCTCTGGATAACAGTCCTGTCCCTGGAACCTGGGAGTATACTTGCCATTCTTTTCCTGGTCACCTCTGAGAGACAGAGGAACCGCCACGGCCACAACTACACCCACCAGCAACAGGCCAACAACAACAAGTGCCACTCGATGCTTGCTACACGCCATCCTGGCAGATCTTGAAACACAAATGCAACAATTGTTTGAAATAATACAAGCTCACTTGTAATAAATCCAGTCAAACGCACACTTCAGATAATGTTGTATGTTATAAAATGCAACAGTATTTCAGTAGACGTCAGAGAGAGACTTTCAATGTCTCATCCCGTCAGCAGTAACTTGTTAATCTGCCGGATCAGCTGCGGGCTTATGATCTATTTACAACAGGGGTTCCCAAATATTTTGACGTGTCGAGCTCTTTTAAAAACTAATTTCTACGGTGGAACCCCTACTGTACCAGATGTCTTACAAGTTAACTGCGTTTAGAAGTCATGTTGCGATACGGGGGAAGGAAAAGGCACATAGTAAGGGTATTTAAAGTAAAGAGGCAGGTAAACAACTGTACACAAGCCATGGAATAGAACACAAATATTTCGAAACTTTACGGGTAATCATAGTGGTAAATTTATTCTCAACTACCACCAATAGACATGGTGCAGTCAAAACTGGGTGATCCCTTCAGCAGCTTCCAAACTTCAACAAATCAAACTAACTGCATTACAATAGAGTTTATATTATTTACCTGATAGTATAAGAATCCATTGTAAAAAAAAAAAAAAAAACGAATGAACGTTTAATGAACTACATGGGAACTCATTGTTTGGTAATTTTAATAATTTCACACTGAATTGATGATAATTGCAGGCGAAATCTGGTTCTGCATCTAAACAGCTCTGTGTTTTGTTTTGGTAGCTGTAAAAGCTGATAACTCCACAACCTACACTTAGCTGAGAAAGGCAGAAACACCAGTTTTAATATCTGAGATAAGATTTTGAATTCATCTTGTAAATAATGCGAAATTTAGACAGACGTTGGTTTATGAAACATGATTTTTTATTCGCTTGAGATGTCAAATCTATGAAGACCTCGAATACATTTATGTTGAACAAATCCCTTGACTATTGAAAGTCATCTAACACCTTCTATCTTCTCTTAAGCTGTTGGGAAATAATGTTCAAGCGAGTGTTTCAGAGTTTCCAGATAAACCTGAATAGTCTATGCATTTATACCGGTATTTTTTTTTATTCTAGAAGCTTTTGTTTGTTTGTTTGTTTGTTGTTTGTTTTAGTATCCAGAAGCCATGAGTTAGTTAACCCTTAGGCTCGGTATTATGGATATAGCAACCTTTCGACCTTGATTCCATTGTAAATACCGTAAATCTGGGAGAAATGTGGCTTTCCTGCCTACCCCCGGGATTGAGCCCGGACCACAAGGAGTTCGTCACCCGGTTTCTGCGCAATCCGGTTTAGCCAACTACGCTAGAGAGCCGGGCTATATAAGCTTTTTGAAGAGGGAAACAATCGATCTCTTCCGTTTCCACGCACTCCAAAAATACGTGTTTCATCTAAAAAGATGACACTTTAGACTTTGTTTAAAAAACGTGTGGCAGTTTCTTCCTTTCAGTGATTGATTCATTTCGTTCATTTTGATAAAAAGTGTCGGCCATATGCCAGTTTGCACAGAGTCGCTTCAAACCGTCGCGAATGGAGTGTTGTGGTTCATGAACAATTCTATTGCCTCTGCTCGTCGCATCTGCAGTCAGTTCCATCAAACGTATCAATGCGTTTACCTGAGTCATATAGACATCTTCATACATTAGTTTGAAGAGCCTACTCCTTGAAATGTCCTTATTTGTATATGGTTTATTATTTTTTGTGGCATCATTTAACACGATCAAAGGCTCAAAAGAATTGTTGTATCCATCAAGGCTGGTGCATGTCTTCGAAGAACACTACTGATGGCTGCTGCTACTACAACCCCCCCCCCCCCCCCCCTCCCTTTTTCAGCATAGGCAATGGATGAATTAATCAATTAAGGAACTGACATTACTGCACTCGGGACATTCCCATACGTGCTCCGACCCCTTCTTCAGTAGCCAACAAAGCGTCGATATGCGAATAGTACCAGTTGCAACCTGATTAAAAGTCCGCCTATGTTTTCCCCCTCAGCGATGTATACCTTCAGGAAGCTCTACTCGCTCAAAAAAAAGTCTTTCAATGTAGGCATTCTCTCTATGTTCTACTGTACTGTAGGCATTCTCTCTATGTTCTACTGTACTGTAGGCATTCTTTCTATGTTCCCCTGTACTGTAGGCATTCTCTCTATGTTCTTCTGTACTGTAGGCATTCTCTCTATGTTCTCCTTTACTGTAGGCATTCTCTCTATTTTCTACTGTACTGTAGGCATTCTCTCTATGTTCTCCTGTACTGTAGGCATTCTCTCTATGTTCTACTGCACTATAGGCATTCTCTCTATGTTCTCCTATACTGTAGGCATTCTCTCTATGTTCTACTGTACTGTAGGCATTCTCTCTATGTTCTCCTTTACTGTAGGCATTCTCTCTATGTTCTACTGTACTGTAGACATTCTCTCTTTGTTCTACTGTACTGTAGGCATTCTCTCTATGTTCTCCTGTACTGTAGGCATTCTCTCTATGTTCTCCTATACTGTAGGCATTCTCTCTATGTTCTCCTGTACTGTAGGCATTCTCTCTATGTTCTCCTGTACTGTAGGCATTCTCTCTATGTTCTCCTTTACTGTAGGCATTCTCTCTATGTTCTCCTGTACTGTAGGCATTCTCTCTATGTTCTCCTATACTGTAGGCATTCTCTCTATGTTCTCCTTTACTGTAGGCATTCTCTCTATGTTCTCCTTTACTGTAGGCATTCTCTCTATTTTCTACTGTACTGTAGACATTCTCTCTTTGTTCTACTGTACTGTAGGCATTCTCTCTATGTTCTACTGTACTTTAGGCATTCTCTCTATGTTCTCCTGTACTGTAGGCATTCTCTCTATGTTCTCCTGTACTGTAGGCATTCTCTCTATGTTCTCCTGTACTGTAGGCATTCTCTCTATGTTCTCCTGTACTGTAGGCATTCTCTCTATGTTCTTCTGTACTGTAGGCATTCTCTCTAACACTGTAGGCATTCTCTCTATGTTCTCCTGTACTGTAGGCATTCTCTCTATGTTCTCCTGTACTGTAGGCATTCTCTCTATGTTCTACTGCACTATAGGCATTCTCTCTATGTTCTCCTATACTGTAGGCATTCTCTCTATGTTCTACTGTACTGTAGGCATTCTCTCTATGTTCTCCTTTACTGTAGGCATTCTCTCTATTTTCTACTGTACTGTAGGCATTCTCTCTATGTTCTCCTGTACTGTAGGCATTCTCTCTATGTTCTACTGCACTATAGGCATTCTCTCTATGTTCTCCTATACTGTAGGCATTCTCTCTATGTTCTACTGTACTGTAGGCATTCTCTCTATGTTCTCCTTTACTGTAGGCATTCTCTCTATTTTCTACTGTACTGTAGACATTCTCTCTTTGTTCTACTGTACTGTAGGCATTCTCTCTATGTTCTACTGTACTGTAGGCATTCTCTCTATTTTCTACTGTACTGTAGGCATTCTCTCTATGTTCTACTGTACTGTACATTCGATGACAGGAAGCCTTCACCACATCCGCTTTATCAAAATCAGTAGGTAATAAAATATGTCACTGGTTGCAACACTGGATCCATGACGTCACTGGTTGCAACACTGGATCCATGACGTCACTGGTTGCAACACTGGATCCATGACGTCACTGGTTGCAACTGGATCCATGATGGCATTTGCCATATCAGTGCATATACTTTTATATGCACAGGTTTCACGCTTGTATCTGCACAGGTTTCACGCTTGTATCTGCACAGGTTTCACGCTTGTATCTGCACAGGTTTCACGCCGTATTTCGTTGGATGAGAAGACTTTGTTCTCAAGAACGAATATTTCCTCCCCTGACGAACTGGCTTCTAGTCGTCTGCAAAGAAGAAGGCCGATAGTTTTGTAAGTCAGCATAACAAACAAATACCCTTAAAACAATCAGCTTGACGAGCTCAGAGTCTCCAAGGGTGGAGAATGAGCAAGAAACTACTCCAGTGTATAGTTGCAAGAAATCACCCAGACTTTCATTTCCACAAAGGGCATGTGGCATATAAAGTGTGGCATATAAAGTGTGGCATATAAAGTGTGGCATATAAAGTGTGGCGTATAAAGTGTGGCATATAAAGTGTGGCATATAAAGTGTGGCATATAAAGTGTGGCAGGGCCGCTCTTTTGGAGCTAGCGGCGTTAGATTCTTCTTTGCCTTTCTTAAACTTTTTAATTTCTTAACAAATTGTCCCATGGAAAGTGCACCGACAGCGTTTCGGCCTTCGCGAAGGATCAGTTGGGAACCGTTGACTTACAGTACTAGATACGATCAAACTGCCCGCATGTTCTCCTGTTGTATATTAATATATGCATTTGTGTGAAATATTTGTTAGCTGTCATGTGTGGCCTGCTGGCTGGCTGGCTGGTTGTATATGTATGAGAGATTGTGCACTCTATGACCCTTGGACTAATGTGCAACAATCTCTGTACAGACATGACTCGTGGACCAATGTGCAATTCTGTACAGACATGACTCATTGAACAATGTGCAATAGTCTCTGTACAGACATGACTCGTGGACCAATGTGCAATTCTATACAGACATGACTCGTGGACCAATGTGCAATTCTATACAGACATGACTCGTGGACCAATGTGCAACAGTCTCTCTACAGACATGACTCGTGGACCAATGTGCAACAGTCTCTCTACAGACATGACTCGTGGATTAATGTGCAACAGTCTCTGTACAGACATGACTCGTGGACCAATGTGCAATTCTATACAGACATGACTCGTGGACCAATGTGCAATTCTGTACAGACATGACTCGTTGAACAATGTGCAATAGTCTCTGTACAGACATGACTCGTGGACCAATGTGCAATTCTATACAGACATGACTCGTGGACCAATGTGCAACAGTCTCTGTGCAGACATGACTCGTGGACCAATGTGCAACTCTGTACAGACATGACTCGTGGACCAATGTGCAACAGTCTCTGTGCAGACATGACTCGTGGACCAATGTGCAA